TATTATTATTATTATTATTATATCGAAAGGCCTTATTGATTTATACCTGCAGAATGCCGGCATGATCACCTTTGGCGTGTTCCCTAGTAGACACTCCCCAAGTTCCGGGCCAGTGGGTACCATCGGCCATCCATGTAGCCTTTTGAACCTTGATTGACTCCATATGGTCATCCCCACTCTCTCTCATGTGCTTTAGTATTTTCATCTCCTCTCTGGCATTGAATGCATCAGATCTTCTCCTAATCGAATCTGGCAATCCATTTATCCTTACCTTAAATTCATCATATTCCCTCTTGACTCTCCGCCTATCTTTCACAAAATCAGGCCTTTTCTTGTTCTTGGTTGGATCACCTTTCAGAGTGAAGTAGGTTTCAGGATTTCTGGGTTCTATATCATGTTTCCTACAGAAAGGAACCCACAAATCAGCAAAACTCGCAGCCTCTGCCATAGCCTCAAAAGTGAGAAGCGCCGCACCGTCATCAGAAACGTAACAAGCAAGTTTCTCTACGGGATAGTCTACGGCTAAGATTGACAGAATAGTGTTGGCAGTGACCAGTGGCGGTTCTTTTTCAGGATCCGCCGTGGACACAAAAAAGTCAATTCCTGGGAGGTCAGAGGCCCCACTCGGATTGGAAGATGATGGCATATCAAATTTATCGCGCAAAATCTCTAAATCTGTAACCCGACTGACTGGGTTGATCTTAGGAACCTGATCAAGAACCCAAGAAAAGGCGAACCATAATTCACATACAACTGACATCAACCACAGCCATATAGCTTCGTCGTTTGGATGTTTCAGCCTCCATGTCAAGAAAAAGGCAAGTACAACTAGTCGGACAACAATAAGCAGCCTGTAATTTCATGTTGGTTACTAAACTTCATTTTGTTTCAAGTTTTTCACACTAAACAGTTGGACTTAATCCGTTAATTCGACCAACGGACGTGAATGGAGTGACAAAATTTTATTGTTTGCATACCTGTAAGGGCTGATGATGCTATTTGGTATAGGTACTATTCGGCTGAGGGGCCTACACGGTTTATCTGATGAATCCGGCATGCCTTTATGCACTCCATCCGCGTCATCTCCATACATGTCATCTTGAGGCCAATAGGCATTACCATATCCATATGTACCCTGAGTCTCAAATAGCCACTTATTATGATCAAATTCTCCATTTTGATTCCTCTTCATCATGGACATACGTCGGTCTCCTTTTGAATCCTCAGGGGCGGGAAGTGATAGAGCGCCACCGGAAAAATCTGGTACATCATCATCAAAATCACCAACTCTATATGGCTCCTTGCATCCAGGACAGAGACCAGTATCTTTTTGGGCGTCCATGTAGCAATCTCTGCAGATTTTAAACCTAGAAAGACCATTCCAAGAAATGTTCATACCTACCTCACTATTTAGAATTAGTGCATGCTGGTGAATTATCCTTGATAGTAAAACTAAGTTTCCATTTAATTAATTATGAGAAATGTGAGCTACTTGTTAAATACAAGATATAGATAAATATATGTAGACTCTCTCTAGCAGCTTAAACTTTTTGATGATGAGGTTAATATAGAAAGTCATAACGTGTTAGACCATTGATAAAAGAACGTTTAAGGTCTTAACTCTTAGACATACCTACATTCACAAGGAATAACGTCTTTACCCCTTTCATCCTTCATAATCTTGCCATCACAAGCCGGCATGGCACAGGACGAGCCCTTTGAACCGGCCATCTGTGGATGACTCACCTCTGATTCAATCACCTTATCCATGAGATGAGCACGCGTGACGCTGTTGAATCCACCGGTGAAGAGAGAATTGGATACATATTGTTCTTCTGCTTTTGTAGCCACAGAAGTGTCCATTGGCTGATTATCAGGCGTAGGAGGAATGTGAACAGTATAATTCATGTAATCACCCGAAATTTCTCCCGACATATCCAGGTCTTCTCTGGAGAGACTAACATACCTACCGCTTGAAGTTCTACGTGCAAATTTCACCGTTTGGCCACTGGGACCCCGGTTTCCATGAGAACTACCGGAAGAACCACCAGACCCCGGTGCACGCATTGCCTTCTTTGATGGCTGGCTAGACAAGTTCGACATTTTCGAATTATTCTTTATATCTTTAATTTAATTCGAAAAGATTCCTAATTATATAGCAATAGTTTAATTAAATAAGACACCCCAGACTGTTGGTTCATTCTAATTGAAGACTTCTGTTCTGTTTCTACATCAAAATTATGCAACAAATTGGTAAAAAGGAAAATTAAAATAATTATCTCAAGAGCAAAATGAGATTTAAAATGAGAAGCAGAGGAAGCATACAGAAAATATGTGGTTTATGGTTCATCTCCAACAAAAAATCTGGGAAATGTATGGAAGAGAGAAAATAGGAAAAACAGAAATGGATTTCCTGGTGAGAGACCAAGTCACATAATTGCTTTCTGTTGGTAGGTTTCAAGGGGATATTTAGACATGTCAAAACGGGCAGACTGAATAAACCAGCATGAACAGGTGCATGTTTCTAAGTCGATCTTTTATCGGGTTTGACACATGTATCAAAAGAATAAACTTCATTCATGCAATTGTTCACAACTAGAGAATTACGATTGGACTTCCAACCTTACGAGCAACGTGATTTGATAACATTCAAAA